GTGGCGTAGCCCCCCTCCGCTCATCCGACGGTAACTCCACAATTAAAGACGAAGAAGACATCCTTCAGCACTAGAAAGAGCACTACCATTTGCTGCTCAGCCGAAAATCCGATGTGATGTCCTGTCTACCCAGCAGGTCCCTTAGCATCCAGAGCTGACCCATCTCAGCTATCCTCCATTCCTGGATGAGGTAGCTACTGTGACCAAATAGATAAAAAACAAGTGATCGTGGGCCCTTCATGCCCGGTGGCGAATCCGGTGGTACAGTTTACCGAGGCGTGAAAGTACGAAGCTTGTGTTTGGCTTGCGCGCAACCGCCATCCGGCTGACAGCGTATTGCGACATCGTTTTCCAGATGGTCGTGGTTGTTATAATCATGGTTGTGGTTGTTATAATCATGGTCGTGGTTGTTATAATCATAGTCGTGGTTATGATCATAGTTGTGGTTGCTATAATCATAGTCGTGGTTATGATCATAGTCGTGGTTGCTATAATCATAGTCGTGGTTGTTATAATCATGGTCATGAGTGTTATAATCATGGTTGTGGTTGTCATAATCATGGTCGTGGTTGTTATAATCATGGTCGTTGTTATCGCCGCTGGCTTCAGCTACAGTGCTGGCGTGTGATGCCATTCAATCTTTCGATCTGTGACCTCGCCAGTTGTAGAAGTGTTTACAGACAAGTCCTGGTTCTGCTGAGTGGACTGTCTTCAACTGGTGGCGGTGCTGCCCGCCTCTCCATGAGTCAGATCGCCCTCTCTAGTGATGCTGTGAAAACCAGCTTTCTCCTGTCCGAGAATTTGTGCCGGAACAATTTACGCAATACTGCTGTCTCTTGGAACACCATACTGATCTGCATTGACCCGCACTTGTAAGTACGGCCTAAGTGATGACATACCCCTCGGTACTGAAATATTGTTGACTAATTACGCCTACTCGTTTCTACCTAACCCGGAGTAATAAGACAATGCAGAATGAAGCGAAGCTAAGATTAATAGAGTTATGAACTTTGTGTTATGTCAGTATGTTTAATATATTGTAATTAAGATAAAATTGTGTGAGACTAACTAATTATGTATCAGATGGATCACCTTGTAATATTATGAACGCCTTCTCCTCTGCAGGTTTTGACCACATCAATAAATATTGAATGCATCAAAAGACGGGTTTCAATCATTCCCTTCGACTTGCCCGTCACCTGAACGTCCTTAACCAAGGCGTGTACAGTCGTGGTTGTTATAATCATGGTCGTGGTTGTTATAATCATGGTCGTGGTTGTTATAATCATGGTCGTGGTTGTTATAATCATGGTCGGGTTGTTATAATCATGTCATGGTGGTTGTTATAATCATGGTCGTGGTTTTTAATCATGGTCGTGGTTGTTATAATCATGGTCGTGGTTGTTATAATCATGGTCGTGGTTGTTATAATCATGGTCCTGGTTGTTATAATCATGGTCGTGGTTGTTATAATCATGGTCGTGGTTGTTATAATCATGGTCGTGGTTGTTATAATCATGGTCGTGGTTGTTATAATCATGGTCGTGGTAGTGATACTTACAGTATCTAATATACTATAAGAAGGAATAGAATAAAGGTTAGAATAATTACTTAAAGAAATATTCGCCATAAGGAGAGGTTAAGATCATAAAAAAAAATATTTTGAATCACCGATGATCATTCCGAGATAAATTATATTATGAAGAGAAGTAACCTTGATTCTGGTTAGATTAGTCACCATCTGCTTAAGTCATCACCTGTGTTAAGTCATCATAGTCATCATGTACGTTAGTCAGTTTTAGGCCCATCTCACATGACTGACCGACCATCAATGTTCTTTCCGCGCGAGGGTGTTAGTTTTCAATGCGTCTTATTATTTACGCTGGTGGCTGTAAGACCCCATGAGCAACGCTCTTGTGCATTATGCAGAAGACCCGACAGCCTAAGATGTCCCCACACACAACGCTTCCGTGACGCCTGCTGGACCACCACTCCACGACCACCTGATGGAGACACGATGATCCTCCCCATACTGGCCAGGTATTATGTAAATAACATTGATTATGTGTTAAAGGAATGTCCTTCCTTCCTTCTTTAGGCTTTAGTAAGCCCCTTTATAATATTTATACTGTATATACTTGTCACACTTGCCAGATGCTTCTGGTGTTATTGTACAGGGGTACCTTGTGACAGCACTAGGATCCCGCTTCCTCTATCAAGGAATAAACAATTGAAATTGAAATTGAATTGATGTAAGACCTCTTACCCTCACTGACGCAGCTATGGTCAATTTGGTGTTATTCTTGTTTATAAATGCCTTCTAATCTGTCTCAAGACTATCCGTCCCGTCTATTGCCATCCCGATTGTCAGTTTGTCTGCGTGGTGTTTGAATGTAAGCCCGTCTGTACTCTTTATGTCGTCAAATCTGTCTGTCTTATCCGTTGTTGGCGTGTGTCTGCCTGTTTGTCTAATGTGAACCAGTCAGTCAGCTGTCTGTCTGTCATGTTAGTTGCCATATTGTCTATTTGTGCATGTATGAATCTGTCTATTTTTGTCAACCTCCTGTCTGTTTCACTGTCTATATTCACCCTGTGTCTATTGTAGTCATCTTCTCCATGAATTCCTGTTATTATTTTTTTATCTCTTCTCTCTTTCTATGTACAGTCACCCACAGGAATAAGTATACACTGTAGCTGTAAGGTCGTCTGGTAACGTTGAAATTGCGCATCCAGACGCATGATGAAACTCAGTCCCCCCCCCACCTGTTATCTCTAACTATTTTCTGTTTCCCCTTCTTTATTCTTCTATTTACTCATCTTACTTCCTTTACTAATCCAAACAACATTAAAAAAACAGTAGGCTAAGAGAAAAAGTGGGGGGAGAGGAGGGGGCCGTACGATAACTGCAATCGTCTGGCCGGCAGACAGCGTACAGAGACATCTTTTGCCAGCGTAAATAAGATGATTAATTAATGCCTTCCTAAAGAAACCATCGACATGGGACCAGGTTTGTTCCACTCTACGAATTTTTGTGCGATTTTCCACCAAGTTTGATGAAAAACGATTGTGCCATTTCGGCTGCCCAGAACAGATACACACACAGCTAGGCGTATAGTATATTAGAAAACAGACTCGGGGCCCGATGGAATTCCAGCCGAGATCTACAAAGCAGGAGGACCTCTGCATACCAGCTATTTCCACTCTCTCCTGGAGAATATATGGGAAAAGTAGGAAATCCCCTAAGGGAGATCAGTTAGACTGTGGCAACTACCGCAGGATCTCGCTGCTGTCAGTAACAGGCAAGAGTCCTCCTAAACAGACTTCTTCAGGTGGAGGACTTCCTCCTAGAATTTCAATGTGGCTTTAGACCATCACATGGCACCACTGACATGATCCTTGTTGCCTGCCATCCAAGGAAAAGTGCAGAGAACAGCATTGTGACCTGTACATGGACTTCATCGACCTAACTAAGGCCTTTGACTTGGTCAACAGGGAAGCCCTCTGGCGGACCCTAGGCCGTTTTGGCTGCCCACCAAAATTCATCTCCATTGTGAGGCAACTCGACGATGATATGATCGGCAGTGTCCTGCACAATGGCACCCCGTCTGAATTCTTCCCTATCCAAACGGGGGTAAAACAAGGATGTGTATTGGCACCAACTCTCTTTTCCATTTTCTTGACTGCCTTCCTTACTCGTGGCAGTGCTAATTTAGCCAGCGGGGTGGACATCCAGTACTAGATGAAGGGTCTTTTCAACATAAGACGACTCCAGGCAGGAACAAAGGTGTCGGCAGATTACATTACTGAATTTCAGTATGCAGACGACCTCACCCTTGTCGCTCACACTAAACGCGACCTACAGATCCTGAACACCTATGCAGATGTGTATGCACACTTCGGCCTTTAGGTGAATGTACATAAGACTCGGATTCTCTTTAAACCTGCCCCTGGTTCAGCCACACCTCCACCATCCATCCAGCTTAACAGTACTACCCTCTCTAAAGTTACCCTCTTTCAGTATCTCGGCTCCCACCTGTCAAACACCGCAGACATCGATGAAGAGATTCAACATCGGATCAGATGTGCATCTCAAGTGTTTGGAAGACAGTATACTCGTGTCTTCAACTGTAGGGAGCTGAAATTATCTACAAAGTTGCATGTATATCAAGCAGTAGTCCTCCCCACCCTATTATATGGCAGTGAGACATGGATCACATACAGGAGGCACCTCAAGGCACTTGAAAACTTTCACCAACGTAGTCTGTTCCATCCTCCGAGTTCTCTGGGAAGACAAGAGAACAAATGACAGCATTCTCGTTGATACCAACTGTAGGAGCATCGAGGCTACCATTATTTTTGAACAATTTTGTTGGACTGGCCATGTTACCCTCATGAACGACAGTAGATTGCCAAGGCAGATACCTTACACTCACCTCACGAATAGTAAACATCACATGGGCAACTGAAAAGGTATAAAGATAGTCTTAAGACACACCTGAAAAAGTGCCAAATCTACCCTCTTACCTGGGAGACGATTACTGCACACCATAACGCTTGGAGGAGCACCATGAGAGAAGGTGTCAATACCTTTGAGTTAGCCCAACTCCAAACCGAGGCAGACAAGTGCCAACTCCGAAAAGACGCTGTTGCCGCCCCTCTCACACTAGATGTAGCCCCCCACATGTGCAACACCTATGAACGACCCTGCCGGTCCCGTATCGGCCTCGGAGTTCCCCAACGAAGGTGACATCCTTAATAACTCCGAGCGACAGCAAAGTAATAGGGTATGTGTGTGACAGTATAAGCTCATTAGTTATCTTCATTACCGTCGCCCTCTAACAATATTCAGGATTATCAAATGTAGGACCATGTGGTCTCCCTCTGTTGACTGGATGACAATTGTTCCTTCTATATAGATGATGACACTTTAATTTATACTGTACATGTATTTTGTACACAACTGTTGTTATCACAAAGAAGATAAAGTCTTGGACACTTACCTCAGGTACAAAGATCTGTTCGCCCCATCCCATCACCACACATCCCTGCAGGTCATCGTAGGAGTCACGGGCGTCAGGGAGACAGATGGGCTTCACCCTCGGGCCAAACCTGCCCAAGAATAAAATTGTCTTATAACAGGAGGTACGTGAATGTGTCTGTCTGTGTGCACTGTACATAACTTTAAGTTGCGAGTTCAAACCACCATTCTGGTTTATATTCACTACAGCGCTGATATGAACATAAGAATGAAGGAAACTGCAGCCCTGTTTACACCCAACCCATATCGCTCATATATCTGTCCAAACTATATTTGAAGCTTCCCAGCGTGTTGGAGTTAATGATGGTGTTTGGTAACTTGTTCCACTCATCCATTACTCATGTTGGGACATTCAGTTCCCACTGCTGTGAAGGTGGCAGAGTACACTGGTTTGGAAATAGAGTGGAATAAGTAACCAAACATCATCATTAACTCCAACACGCTGGGAAGCTTCAAATATAGTTTTGACTGATATATGAGCGATATGGGTTGGGTGTAAACGGGGCTGCCTAGTATGGGCCAATAGGCCGGTGATACAGTATTCCATAAATTTCAAGTATTCTAGGCTGGAGTGAAAACCTAATTCATCTTTGTTAGACTTCCATTTCATATCCAGAACTTAAGTTGCTGACTGATCTTTATCCACTAGTCCTTCTAATATAAGTTGTTCACGAAGATGAGGGCTATTTGTGACCCTGGATCACTGACCCATTCCCATAAATATAAATGTGCTGATGAAAAAACTTCTTGATCTCTACGATAATTCTTAGTGCGTGTTTTACCCCATCCGCTGTGATCAGGAAGTTTTTTTCTCATGTTTATAATTCTTGTAGATTTTGGGAATCCTAAGATATTGCACATGACTTTATTTTGTACTACTTCCAGGCTATCAAGATGTTTGTAAGGAAGAGTAACAAGATGAGGAGCATGATAGTCAACTATGGATCATATGAAGTGAAGATAGAAGGTACGAGCATAGGTGATGTTAATTCCATAGCTTTCACCAAGTAAGGTTCCAAGAGGTTTAATTCGCTCTAATAGTTTGGCGTGGAGGTTGGCAATGAAGTTCGCATCATTTAAATCAATATTAAAGTTAAAAGGATAAGCAGGGCAAGGATTGAGGACCCTCGTCTTATCAATAGATATTATGAGACCACCACATTCAACAGTCCTCCGAGCAAATGCATCCATTAGGGCTTGGAGCCTGGGTTTGGTATGCACCATAATACAGAAATCATACGTGTAAAACATCGCAGCTTCAGTCGGTTGAACTGGAATGTCAATAATAAGCTTGTGCATCAGTATATTAAGAACATAAGAGCATAAGAACGGAGGAAACTGCAGTGGGCCATACTAGGGGGTCTCGTTTATACCCAACCCAAACGTTTGCACCCATAGAACTTGACACTTCTCCTTGTGGCGTGCCAAGTTCAAATGCTCTTATTCAGGTACTTTTGATTTCCCTAAACAGGACACTGTAGTATGGTATGGTATGGTATGGTATGGTATGTAGTGGTAGTGGTACATGATTGGTATTCAATATATCCAACCTGCCTTGTGTAGATATATTTATTTATACTTTCATAATAGTTATAATAGACAACAACATCATTAGTTAATATACTACAGTGGTCTCAGGTAGGCCTCATGTTTATCTTCTGATATTTTTAATAACAAAATTTGAATAACAATGCGAGTTTACTCAAAATTATAGAACCAGAAAAAATATCTTTACAAAATAGAAATACGATTAATCGATTATCCATGCACAAGTATTCTGGCGTTATCATCACTTGTAAGAGCTCTATGCGATTCTTAGTGAAAAATTTATTTCTGTGATTTTCTGAATCAAGAGATAGACTTTAAATCCTACATACTTTCCTATTGACAATGAGAGACAAACTGTTGTTCTAACTTCTAGACAGGGATGCCGACTCGTGATGTTCAAAAGTCACTATGAGGAGAGTCAATAGTAGCTTTATTTAAAAAAAAAAGGAAGCTAGTTTTTTATATGCTTTGAAATATACATATAAATTGATTTTTAAAAATACTACAATGAAATTTAACATATCACGTAGGTGCTTATATCACTTTTAACAAATTGTAGTTAAGTTGTAGTGAATTTCTCCCTTACAAACGCTGTTTGTCGCTGAGTAGCCGACCCCACGAATTCCTCAGTGTATGCCTAACTGCCATGGCTCTCCCTGTAGCAATGATCACGCATTATTTGTGATTCAAACGAACATTTTTACTGCGGTCTGTACTTGTCCGTATGAGAAGAAGGGCCAAACCTCTCGATACTGAGGTAAAGTCTTATTTTTAATGTCACAAACATCTCGTCTTCAGATTTATAGATTAATCGGCCAAATAATCCGCAAAATGATGACAGAATCCTCAAAAAAAATCCACTCATCGTAAAGGATGATGAAAAGTCACAAATAGGAATTGAAGTTCAGTGCAGGCAAGCAGGCACTTTTTGTGGCAGTACTTCGCCACATGGTAGGTTCCGTAACAGTTGTAACACATCACAGGGGTGAGAACCCACTATCTGATATGACTAGGGGCGCTACACTCCCCGAAGAAGAAATGTTGAACGGAAGGCGGTTCCTTACCATTCCATACAATGACGATACCACAATAGTAATTGGTGCATTATCCTTGTAGATTCTGTTTGCCCTGTAGATGCCCGGAAGATCAAAAGCTTCTCAGGGGACATATTCTTAGGGAAGGGGGTGACAAGGTACAGTAGTCTTTCAACTTTTTAAGGATCGAATCATATCATCCACTTGGGACGACTGTGCAGAATGTTTCTTAAATTTTTGTTTCTTCTTATTCGTCCTAAACTCCTCAAAGCCATCTCCAGTGTGCCCCTGACTGGCCTCGTCATCTCCCTGACTGGGATAGTAAGGAACACTCACTGAGAGACGCCCGTCGCTGACCCATGCCATGGTCAGATTTAGGGGAATTAAGATCTTATGGACAAGCCAGAGAGGTGACAGGTTGACCAGTGGTGATCGGAAAATAGGAACTTAAGTGAATGGGCAGAGTTGTGGGCCATCATGGAGGGCAAGGAGCTATACAGGTTCAGAATTATACAAAGAGCACAGGAATAGTCACAACCTTCATTAATCACAATGAGACATCATTGTAGAATTTGTAGCTGATGCTCGCGCGCACACACACACACATACACACACACACACGAAAAAAGGATAGAACCACACAATTATTTAACCCCTTCAATATGGGGACGCCACTATTAATATTTTATTTAGCTAACGCCAGACAATTTTATTCAGCACAGAGGCAACGCTGTACACAAGGTGTTAACCACAAATAACCAACTCCACAAATCATAGCAAATAATGAATTAATACATTGAAAATGACAAAGACCAACAGTATTATTAATCCGCCACTCTGAACGCACATTCCATTGTTTTATTGTAGAAAAATACAATACAGTATATGTTTTATTCGTTCAGGGTTTTGCTACATGAGGGAGTAGTGAAGAATTCATTTTAGTCTTTGTGTTGGTGATTAATAGAACTTAAGTCAGACGAGACACTCACCTCAGTCCATGTCCTCTCTTCCGTTTGATCTTGATGAGGGCGATGTCGTTGTCGAGGAAGCCGTATGCACTGTACTTCTCATGTAGCCAGATTTTGTCGACGGAGAAATCCTGAGAAAAGTACAAGTTGGTGTCACTGTGGCCTAATCATACAAGTATATTTTTGAAGATAATATAAGACAAATATCATTACTTGGGTTACTCACAGTATTGGGAACAAACTAATTCACGTAAACACTATTTTATGAATATGGTTTACAAATTTAATCATATAGAAATATCTCGGCCTATGTGCAGTTGGAATAACATTGATTTAGTCTGTCCACAAATAAGGTGTATATATTGCTGTATTAATTATGTAAGAATATTCTAGAATGTATCGTATCATTTTTTTTTATGATTGTAAGACTCGATCAGAGTAGAATGTTCTAAAATCTCACAGACATCTCTGGGTTACTCTAGGATGTTAGAGACGCGTCTGATGAGGCGTATATAAGCAGAGTTCCTGCTGGACCCGGAACTCTGAAGACCGCCCTCTCCCTTGTACCATTGTTGGCCATCTTCCCGGACCGGACCACCCACGACTGTCATCGTCCACAACAACTCACGAGCGTTCTCGGTTTATCGAGCATTAGCTTGCCCTCCCCACTGGTGGTGTGAGTGACCCACACTCCAGCTGGAGAGCAGTTATAGCGCGATATTCCCGGCGTGGTTTGAGCTCTTTTCCTTCTACTACCATTTTTCCTTTTTCGCTCTGGCCTAGGGACCTGCACCCTCAAAAGTGTATTCGTCCTGCGGTCCCCCCTGTAACTGTTCACCTCCCTCCCAGGAGATTGTGAACACGAAAGGGGGTCGGAGCAAAACCCTCCCCAGCCGAGTCTTTCCAGGAAAACCGTGATCGTGCGGGTCCACCTGGAAAGAGGGTAGCAATCCTTATCCTTCCCAAATAGGCACACTTAGCTCACGTCTATAAGTGAGCAGTCACATACACTAGGAAGTAGGCTTCCCCAATCGGGGCTCCGGGAGAGAAGCTCAGGAACCACTCTACGACCACCAGCTAGTGGGGAGTGCTGTAATTCCTCTGCTATTTACTCAACCGGAATAGGTAGGATCTAAAAAAAAAAAAAATAAATAAACCCGGTTATGGAGCGCGTACGCCCTCCTAACCGCGATCCCCGCCTGAACCGCCAACCTGACGACCCGAACCACGACAGGCTTCGCACAGAGAAAGCAGACCAGTTACGCGCCTTCAACGAAGCCCTGAAAAGTAGGAACTCTGCCACCACCTCCAACAACTCCACCACCACCACCACCTCCACCACCACCACCACTGCTACCGCTACTGAGGACAACTGGACGAAGGTAGAAAATAAGAAACGCCGACGTGCCTTTTCGGGAAACGATTGCCGTCAAGCAGCCCCCAAGGCACCCATCACCACCACCAGCTCACCTCCAACGACACTGCCAAAATTCCGGATCACGAAAACGGACGCAAAAACAACATATGCCGCCGTCACAGAGATGGAAAAGCAAAACCCACTGGCCAAGTTCTCAGTGCGGCCCAACCTAAAGGGGGAGATGATCGTTCACCCCAAAGACAAGAACTCCGCCACCACCCTCGACACTTACCTACAAAACACCACCACCATTACTTCAACCAAGCTAGACCCCGCCCAGAAACTGATGAAGTCGGTAGTCCTCCGGTACCCAAAGGAACTACCTCTCGAACCCCTGGAGAACCACCCGAAGATCCTAAAAGCCGAGAGATGCTCTCCCCTGTCCGACAAGACGGCCACCACGAAACAAGTCCTCATAACGCACTACGGCTCACCCCCCAGCACCATAGACCTCAAAACCTGGGGGATCTACGAAGTGAGGCCCTTCGTCCCAGAGCCCCTGCGATGCTTCAGATGCCAGAAATACGGGCACCATCAGACAAGGTGCACGTACAGGGAAATCTGCGCAGTCTGCGCACAGAAGCACGGCACACAGTCCTGCCTCACCAAACTGAAAAATGGGGAAAAAATTGCCCCCAAGTGTGCCAACTGCGGGGGCAAACACCACGCCTGGAATCCTGGATGCTCCGAGAGAACAAAGAGGGTCCAGGCAAACCGACCAGCAGCAAGACCGGCCCCCACCGCCTACACACCAGCCCCACCAAGTACCTTCGTGTGGGGAACCCAAAGGCCCAAACAACAAAGACAACCTCCTCAGCCAGTCAACACCCAAAGTGCAGCCCAGTTTCCTGGCCTCACTACAGCCACACCTCAGCCACCCAAGCAGCAGAGAACGACAACCACGAGAAAGACAAAAGAAGCACACACCAAGGCACCAGAAGGAATGATACACATATCAGACCTAGCCAATGTACTGACGACCTTCGCGGAGGGCCTAGCCGGACTACTGGGCCACAAGATCCAACCCACACAGCTCCAAATACTCATGGGGAGCGTCCTCGGGCAAGTCGCCACAGCTCCAGCCACCTCAGTGGAGGAAGCCACGCCGGTCCGCACACGAGTAACAGCCGAGGTACACTCTACACCGAAGAAGGCCACCAGAGAACCCAAAACACCGACAGCTCCCAAGATACCGACAGCTCCCAGAAAGAAACTGGACGTTTCAACTCCCCTGAACCGAACCACGGCCCAGAAGGCAAAAACCACAGAACACGAAGACATGGACCTGATTCAGTTGGAATCGAACTTGGACATCTCCATCGAGGACCACCAGAAGTCCCCGATGAAACAGTGGTGGAAAACGTCAGCACCCTGAACATCCTAACATGGAATGCTCAGGGCATCAAAAACAAGAAACACCTCCTACAAGAAGCAGCAGCCAAGGACAAGCTTGACATCATACTCCTACAAGAAACACTTCTACAAGAACACCACTGTTTCAAATTCAGCGGTTACAAGACATACAGGAGGCATTTCACGCAGGCGTCAACAAGAGGATGTATGATCTTGGTCAAGTCAAGCATACCCTCCGCCGATGTCACGCAGCAATTTCCATGTGGGGAAAACATCGAGACACAGGCCGTCAAAGTAACCCTCCAAGAACGGGAATTAACTGTTCACAACATCTACAAGAACCCAAGGGGCTCACTGGAGGTTACTCAATTATTTGCTTCGGCCGCCGACCACGCCACACTCATAGGAGGGGATTTCAACGCACATCATCCCTTCCTAAGCTCGGCAAGCCCCACAAATGAAGACGGCCTACACCTATACACCACCTTTCAAGATACACCCGAGATCTGCCTCCTGAACACCGGAGAGCCCACCCACACTAGGGGAGGAAGGCTAGATCTAACCTTCGTCTCCAGTGCACTACAGCCTTCGGCCTCCTGGCAGATACACCCCACGCTGACCAGTGACCACTTCGCCACCCTAACAACGCTGAAGGTGAACAAACTCCCCACTCCACCCCCCCCGAGATGGAGATACAACACTCAAAAGGCAGACTGGGGACTCTTCAAGAAACACCTGGCTAAGTGGCGCGAAAAATCACAGCCGGCCGGCGCAGCACCCGCGGATGAGACAACCCTCCACCACCAATTGGTCGAGGCGTTTCACCTAGCGGCAGAAGAGGCTATCCCAAAAACAAAACCCACATCAAGACAGTACAATGATTACTGGTACTACTGTCCCAGGGTGAAAGAACTCAACCACAGAGTGAACATGGCCCGAAGAAACTACAGGAGACATCCCACGGCAACAAACAGACATCTCCTGCAAGTCATAGTCAAGGATACCAGGGAAGAGAAGGAAGAAATTAAAAACGCAAGCTGGCTCAAGTGGTGCTCCGAACTGAACGAGCACACCACCCTTGGCAAGATGTGGGCCCAGATCCGAAGGGCATCTGGGAAGGCAACACCACCACCACCAACTCATCCCAACCCAGAAGAGGAAGCCGAGAGACTTGCAAAACTGTTCTCTGACCGAGCAGCAACGAAGAACCTCCCGAGACAGGCGGAGGAGACACAACGGCGTCTGCGACAGGTCAGACTCCAGATGATCGAAGAGGCCTGCAACAGTGAAGATGACACTGACAGACCATTCAACCAGCAAGAACTCCAGAAGTCGCTAAAACGAAGCAAGGATACAGCTCCAGGGGCCGACAGGATAACCTACTCCATGCTCTCTCATGCCGGTACAGCCGGACACGAGGCTCTGCTGCAAGCCATCAATGCTTCGTGGACAGCACAAAGACTCCCACCGGAATGGAAGAAGGCAGATATACAGCCCATTCCGAAGCCCAGAGAACCAGACAAGCCGAGGCCCATCTCCCTTCTCAGCTGCATAGCGAAGACCGGAGAAAGAATGGCTCTCAACCGACTCAAGTGGAAAGTAGGCAGCCCACACCCTCACATCTTTGCTTACACCGAGAACACCGGCACAGGCAACAACATCGCCGAGATACTCAGCACAGTGGACAACAAACCAGCTCTGGTGGTCTTCCTCGACCTGGAGAAAGCCTTCGAACTAGCAAATCCTTTGGCCATTACAACTACGCTCGCTAAAAAAGGCGTCAAAGGAAGGTTGCTGGGGTGGATCCAGAACTACCTCACACAGAGAGAAGCACGAGTACGCTTTCAGGGAGCAACCTCAAGCTACAGGGTCCACGAAAACGGAACCCCACAAGGAGGCATCCTCAGTCCAATGCTGTTCAACGTCCTGATGGAAAATCTGGTCAAACTTCCCTTCAGACAAACAGCCAAGCTCCTATGCTATGCAGACGACTTACAGCTTATAGTAAGAGGATCGAACAGACTAGCCAACACGCAACACGCACTCCAACTTATAGAAGAGGAGTGCAACAGACTTGGACTCAAGATAAATCCAGCCAAGTCGAAAGCGATGGCCATCTGCACAGACACACCAGACAAGACGCTCTCCATACAAAACACGCCGGTAGTCTGGACCAACGCCCACCAGTGTCTTGGAATCTGGTTTGACCAGAAACTCACCTTCAAGCCGCAACTCGAGTATCTCAGGCACAGGACGAAGAGCAGCCACAATATAATGAGGTCGCTCACCAGCAAATCCGCAGGAGCAAACCTTCATGTGCTCAAAGCCTACTACACAGCCGCCATCAGATCGCTGGTAGATTACAGTGCTCCAGCACTCATTGGACTGAGAGAGGACCAAATAGCTAAGCTAGAAGTCATTCAAAACAATGCTCTCAGGACCATGCT